TTATTTCACATTTTTTTCCCTTTTTTTTTTCGTTTATTCTTATTGATTTTTTTTTTAATTTTTTTTATTTTTTTTATATTCAATAATGATAATTTCTTGATGAAATATCATTATTTTTTACTGAAAATATCTTTATTTTTTTGTTGAAATATCATTCTTTTTTACTGAAATATCATTAATTTTTACCGAAATGTTATACATTATTAAATTTTACGTATTAAAAAGCTATTTTCGGTTTATAAAATTAGTTTATTTTAATTTTTTAATATCTGTAGCAGTATGCAAATGTTAAAAAAACAAACACGCTTCTTATTATAGTCTGCAACCGTTTGGTCCACCTCTTCTACTGCAGAGGGTTACAGAAGTGATCCGCAGACTTAATGAATTTTTGCTTCAGAAAATCAAACAACACCTTAATAAATAAGTAATTGCAAATTTGGTTGAAAAACAAAATGGTTATAAAGAAAAGACTAACTGATGGTCCGTTAGACTTAAAGGAGGGTGGACCAACATTGAAAATATTGGAAAAACAAGTACAATATTTAGATATATTCGTTAAACTACATGGACCAGAAATTTACTCTAATGTAAACCGGCTCATGGGTTTAGTTAACCAGCGGCTCCATCTAGAAGCTCCTTTATTTATTTAAGTTTTGGTTTCTTTTTCTCCAAGAAACTAATTAAAAAATCCGCCATCACGTGACCCTCCCGCTTCGGCTAATCCGCCGCTCCGCTATAAATTAGGTGTCGTAATCCTTCAGCACGCACACTACACCCATCTCACCAACTACGATCTTCAAACACTTTGCGCAATGGGTAATTTCTCTTCCGTTTTGATGTCCATTCACATCGTTTTTCTGTTGCTTTGATTTTTATGTTCGTTCTCTGTTTTGTTTAATTTTGCAGGATCAGATAAGAAGATTAAGATCGGAATCAACGGTACTCTTTTTTTTTTTTTTTATTGAATTCAGTTTGATATTTATTTGAGTTCTTAGTTTTTAATTGATTAGTTTGTTTTAAATGATATGTGATAGGATTCGGAAGAATCGGTCGTCTAGTTGCTAGAGTTGCTCTCCAGAGAGATGATGTTGAGCTTGTTGCTGTTAATGATCCATTCATCACCACCGAGTACATGGTAACTTTATCATATGATAATCCTTTTGTTGCTTATGCTGCAAATGCTTATTTTTATTTAAAAGATTCGATCACATATATGTCAAATTACATACACTTTTCGATGGAATCATCAAATGGAAACTAAAAAAATGGTAAACCACATTATTGATACAAATGCTGTAATCAAATATTTATCGATCTGTGTGTATGTGTATATCATGAATAGTCAAGTCATACAACTTATGAATTCTTTGTTTGCTCTGTCTGTGTACATATAGCGATTTATGCTTCGGCTACCATCTTGTGTTAGTTGTGATAGTTTGAGTTAAGATGATGTTAATGGTCCTTTTACCACTAAACCATGGGTATTATGCAAAAGTTTAGGTCACATGTACTAGTTAAACTAGTACACTGAACAAGTTTTAACATATGTAAATAAAGCAGAGTCCAAACTATAATAATAGTAGTTAAGTAAATATAAATTGAAGCATCTCCCTTTGCAAAAATTCACTGGTTACCATACATGCAGACATATATGTTCAAGTACGACAGTGTTCATGGCCAGTGGAAGCATCATGAGCTTAAAGTCAAAGATGAGAAGACCCTTCTCTTCGGTGATAAACCCGTCACTGTTTTTGGCATCAGGTAACATCTATCACATGCAATTCTTTTGTTTGAGATTTTTTTTATAAAGAATATTTTGTAAACTATTTGTCTTTTCATGCTATTTAGGAACCCTGAGGAAATCCCATGGGGTGCAGCTGGAGCTGACTTTGTTGTGGAGTCTACTGGAGTCTTCACTGATAAGGACAAGGCTGCTGCCCATTTGAAGGTTTCATTAAATCTCTATTCAGCTTTCATATACTTTTATCAATTTCGTTATGTTTAATTATATTTAATTATGTAGGGTGGAGCAAAGAAGGTTGTCATTTCTGCTCCTAGCAAGGATGCTCCCATGTTTGTTGTGGGTGTGAACGAGAAGGAATACAAACCCGAGCTTGACATTGTTTCAAATGCCAGCTGTACAACCAACTGCCTTGCTCCACTTGCCAAGGTTAATTATATAATCTCCATTTCAACTAATAATATTCACCATTCTTTTTCTTTTTGTATTTTTCACACACACAAAAAAAAAATATATATACAGGTCATTAACGATAGGTTCGGAATTGTTGAGGGTCTTATGACAACTGTTCACTCTATCACTGGTAATTACTATTTACGGATTTTCCCTTTCATTAGATTAAATTATCGACTAAAAACAAAATGTATTTAACATTTTAACTAAACTTCCAGCCACTCAAAAGACTGTTGATGGCCCATCAATGAAGGACTGGAGAGGTGGAAGAGCTGCTTCTTTCAACATCATTCCGAGCAGCACTGGAGCTGCTAAGGTAATTACTATTTACGGATTTACCCTTTAATAATTTGATTTCAACTTATATATTATGTGTTGATGTTTAGGCTGTGGGTAAGGTTTTGCCTGCTCTAAATGGGAAATTGACGGGAATGGCCTTCCGTGTGCCAACTGTGGATGTGTCAGTTGTTGATTTGACTGTAAGGCTGGAAAAGAAGGCTACCTATGAGCAGATTAAGGCTGCCATTAAGTAAGTTATGGGAATAAGTAAATTAATATTTTGTGGAAACATAATGTTAACTTTTGGGGTTGTTTTTGTAATTTCAGAGAGGAATCAGAGGGCAAAATGAAGGGTATTTTGGGATATACAGAAGACGATGTTGTGTCCACTGACTTTATCGGTGACAACAGGTCGAGCATCTTTGATGCTAAAGCTGGAATAGCTTTGAATGACAACTTTGTGAAACTGGTGTCGTGGTATGATAATGAATGGGGATACAGGTAACGATATTTATATCTTTTTCAACATGGAAGAAGTTGAAAGAATTGGCCCTGTGTTATATATTATTATATAAGATTCACATGCATATACTCTCTGATTAATGTTTTATTTTTGCCATGTATGCAGCTCCCGTGTTATTGACCTCATCTGCCACATTGCATCTGTTCAAGCCTAAATTTTTCAATGGATGATGTCAACTTTTTTTTGGTCATTTCTTCTGATTTTGTTTTGAGAACGATTTAGGACTTTGGTGGTAATAAGTGTTTTATACTTTGAGTTATTATTGAGAACAAGTCTTATGACACAACCATTTCTATGACAATATATCTTTTGAATCCTATTGTTTATTCTAAAGTCTTATTGTCTTTTACTCAGATGGGAAAACTTGAAAAACATGATTGCTTTTTATGATTTTATTAAACTTTGTGTGTTTCAAACTTGAACAAGTCTTATACCAACCTTTCCAATGTTGTCCCTTTTGCGATGTTGTCCATATTATGATCTTTATGAAATTGATATGCATAATGATGTTTCACATGTAAATTATATGTAGTACCACCGTATTCAAGCATGCTTTGAATCAACCATACCACCATATATAAATATGACTTGAATCAAACATATTATATTAGACAGAAGTTTGGAGGAAGTTGCCCAAGTTGCTTGATTTATGCATATTCTATTTGTGTGGAAATATGATTTAAGGTAGTTTTCCATTTTACTAAAAGGAAATGCCCACGATCTATTAAATATTAATAAGACCCTCTATATATACCTTTTGGGGTTATACCTTAGAGTCTGTTCTAGACATTCTCAAAATGATTTCAAACATTCTCAAAATGATTTCAACAAAGGTAACTAAGACATCAAACAATCTATGGCACGGGGTTACACCCAAGTTGTCTTACTTTACTGCCCACATATGACATGTAATTTCTAGAAAACTAGAGTCCGGAACTTTCAAATGTCGCTTATGGGGTACTATACAAACCATGTTTGTTTCCAGGAATCTTGAGTTCTTAGAGAGAAATATCGTGTTACAGGAAACAAGTAGGAACAATATAGACCTCAAAAAAATCCAAAAACCGCAAGATAGTGATACAACACATTCCATAAGTATAGTGATACAACACATCCCATTGAGAGACTTGTTATCAATGGAATGTGTTATCAATGGGCACACGCCTTAAGGCCCTCGCTTGCTATTATGTCTCTCCGACGTTACTTCTCATCTCCAATTCACCTCTCGCTTGGTCATTCTTTGGATTTCTTTCACAATTATATCTTCTTACCTATGTTGTACACATAAAAGTAAAAATAAACAAAACAAACTACCCAATAATTTGACCTAGGTACTTGTTATTCTTTATTGTTAGTTTATTATAATTAAAATGTTTCTAAATACTAAGTATTTATTATGGATATATTATAAGTTGATATTAGGTTATTCTTATTTAAATCTTTATATTTTTATTTGAATTTGAATGTTCCTATATAATTACAAATTGTTTTGCATATATAACAAATGGATTGTTATTTGTGTTAATTAGAGTTTGTACTTAAGATTGTGAATATCGTGAAGCATTTTGATTATAAACAAGTGACGAATAGTTATCTTTGGCACTCCGTTTTTATTTTAGTATGTTGTTTAATAAATTGTAATTGTTAATTTGTTATTTGTGTTACATATTTTGATGGTAAGGATAAGCCATATACTAGCACCAACTTGTGTTAATTAGGTTGTGGGTAACAAAAAAGAAAGAAATAGCTAACTCTTTTTGTACTTAATTGCTGTGTTGACTAATAATTATATAAAGTATGTTTACTCAAAAGAATCTGTCCCAATGTAACACAGAGTATTGGTTCATGATATTTAATGGTTAATCAAGAATTAATTTATATTGTTTTGTTATGAAGTTTTGGTTACAGAAAGAAATAAATAGGGGTATTTGGTAATTTCAGAAGGATAGTGTGGCAGTTTTAAAAGAGTGTTTCAACACAAGTAACGACTACTAACAACTAACAAGGATCCAAAATTGGATTTCTGGTTGTGATCGATTCAAATTACAGTTAAAGTGAGAAATAGCAGCTCTGCCGCCAAACTTCCATTTCCTCGCATTCAGCCAAAAATTTCTCTACATGTGTCATCAAATTATCGAACCCATGAAACCCGCTTCTATGGCTGACACAGTACCAATTCTGAAAGTTAAGGAGAGAACCCAAATATCATGGATCTTGGTCCTCTATTTATTCTCGACGTGGGTTCCTTCTTCTTTATCAAAGAAATTCAAGTGAGTAGAGAAGCGTGTAAATCAATCTTCCATGGAGTCTGGTGCTGATGCGAGGAATGATAGAAGAACTGCCGAGGAAAAAGCCATCGATGATTGGCTTCCAGTGACATCCTCCAGAAACGCAAAGTGGTGGTACTCAGCCTTTCACAATGTCACCGCCATGGTTGGTGCCGGTGTCCTCAGTCTTCCTTACGCCCTATCTCAACTCGGATGGTATCCCTTTTCCTTCAATCCAAGTCTTCTCTGTAAGATTCTTTTTTGGTTTAAACGATGCACACAACATGTTCGATGAAAATCCCCACACAAAATCCACTTCCATAATATACAATCTCTTTGATTCAGGGGCTTTGGAATCACAGTACTAGTCCTCTCTTGGGTGATTACACTCTACACACTATGGCAAATGGTGGAAATGCACGAAATGGTTCCAGGAAAAAGATTTGACAGATACCATGAGCTAGGGCAACATGCTTTTGGTGAAAAACTCGGGCTTTTTGTTGTAGTCCCTCAACAGTTGATAGTGGAAGTAGGCACATGCATTGTCTACATGGTGACTGGAGGAAAATCTCTACAGAAGTTTCAACAATCAATTTGCCCTGATTGTAAACCTCTAAGAACCACTTACTTCATCTTGATTTTCGCCTCTGTTCACTTTGTACTTGCTCACCTCCCAAATTTCAACTCCATTAGTGGTGTCTCTTTAGCTGCTGCCATCATGTCATTGAGGTAATAAACTAATAATAAATCATAAATCATAAACCATAAATCAAAATTCATTATGAACTTATGGCAGTTATTCAACGATTGCTTGGGTGGCTTCATGGAAAAGGGGAGCTCATGATGACGTGGACTATAGTCCAAGGTCGAAAACTTCTGTGGGACAAATGTTTGGGATGTTTAGTGCTTTGGGTGATGTGGCATTCGCGTATGCGGGTCATAATGTGGTTTTAGAGATCCAAGCGACTATCCCTTCAACACCTGAAAAGCCATCAAAGGGACCAATGTGGTTGGGTTGTGTTGTTGCGTATATAATTGTTGCTATTTGCTACTTTCCTGTTGCAATAATTGGGTTTTATGTGTTTGGGAACACTGTTGATGACAATATTCTTATCACTCTTGAACACCCTCCATGGCTTATTGCTTCAGCTAACATGTTTGTCATCATCCATGTCATTGGTGGGTATCAGGTATGTGTCAAGATTTTCTTCCATCTCATATCTCTTCAGTCTTCATTACAAAATGTCAAAATCTAACTTTTTTTTTTGAACATTTCAGATTTTTTCGATGCCTGTTTATGACATGATAGAAACTTTCTTGGTGAAATCAGTGAAACTGAAGCCGAGTGGTGTCCTTCGATTCACTGTTCGTACATTATTTGTTGGTAAGATTATGATGCTATTTTTTTTTCTTTCTCAAATACTTTTTTTTAAAAATTTTGATTCCAACTTTTGGGTATTTGCAGTTATCACTACTTTTATTGCAATCACATTCCCTTTCTTTGGTGGACTTCTTGGATTCTTTGGAGGGTTTGCATTGGCACCAACCACCTATTACGTGAGTCTTTTTTTCCCCCTCTTTTGCAATATGTGAAAAGTCCTTTTTGCCCTCTCATTGTGTATTATCATTACTTGCACAGCTTCCATGCATTATTTGGCTAATAGTTAGGAAGCCTAAAAGATGGAGCATAACTTGGTGCATAAATTGGGTATTGTCAAAAATTCAATCTTTTTTTTTTTTTTTTTTTTTTGTTAAGGATTTTTTTTTTCTATGAGTTATCTAATTTGTGTTGTTAATGTTTCAGATTTGCATAGTAATTGGTGTGCTAATAATGATTTTAGCACCAATTGGAGGTCTAAGGTCGATTATTAGGTCAGCTGGGAGCTACAAATTTTACTCGTGAAGAACTGAAAAATGCAACAAGTATTGGAGTTTGTGTAAAAAGAGTGATTTGGTATTTGTGAATAAATAAAGAAATAAGTCTCTCAGGTGAAAGTTAGAGATTAAAATAGATGTAGGTGTTGGGAGTTTGATGTGTATGGTGTTTTTTTTGTAGTTTGCAAGTGATGTACTACTATCAGTGTTAGGCTCAACTCGTGGTACAAGCTTGTATTTGTTTGCTAGTTCTTGTTAATTATTTTTAATTATTTTAGTTTTTTTTTTTTCAACTTTACCTTTATGGAGAATATGCAAAATGATTATTCTTCCACCAAAGCTTGAACAAAAACTTTTAACAAACGTAAAATTCAATTCGTATTGAAATTACAGGTACATGTACGATAACTATAAAAGGCTCATTCTGTCATTCACCTAGGCTTTGGCATATCAAAGTATTAACTTTTTTTAGACATGGAAATTCAAACCCGAGCCATATCAATTATCAAGTATAATCATTAACCTACAAGGTTTATCGAACAATTTATTTTCTGTTCATATTTAATATGTTATTATAGAATCGAACACATTGAATCTTGATATTAAAAACTATTTATATTTCTATTTTTTACTTTTTAAAGAATTGGAGAAATGAGCCAATTATCTTACCAGTCCAGCCCAGAAAGGATGACCCTTAGCCTTGTTCAAGCCAGGGGCCCAAAAGCTCACATTCCTTAGAGGCCCATTCCACGATATATCATACACACACGACGAACCAAGTTTTCGCGCCATCTTCTTCATTTGTTTCCCTCCAAGCACAGTCGACAGCAAGAACCCTAGATCTCCATGGAAGACCAAATTAGAGCCGAATTCAAGAAGAACAACTTCATTTTAGTTGAAGAAGAAGAAATACTTAAGAAATGTAAGAAAGATTTTCACTTCTTGCCCCACTGATTTCATCTTGATTTAGTTTTTATAGTCCGTGCGATTGATTATCTTCTCAATTTGTTTTTGTTTCGGTGAGCAGGTCTGACATTTTGTATAAATTACAATCTCAGTCCATCGGACCTTGTTTCGAGCTGGGATTTGTACTCTATCAACAGGTAATTAGTTTTGCTCGATTACCTTAACGTTCAGTATAGGATTTCCGAGTATGGAGGTGGAAAGGAATTCTAGTCTGCTTTGTAGGAGAATCCATTTCGCCACTCGAATTGTGTTTAGTTTTATTTGGTCTTTGACAGTGTTATCATTGCTCATATGGATGCATTCCATCAGCAATATTATGTTAATATTATCCCTGTTTTGACAGGCAACTGGAACTAGTAGTATCAGATGCTCATATGGATGCATTCCATCAGCAACTACAAAGTGAACAGAAACAAGCTATTATCGAAAAGGAGCAAGGCCTACATTCATATACCGATGTCACCATGTAAGCCTTTCATCTGACATGTGACAGCTTATCACTGTGAATAACCGAGCCTCATTTTCTATGATTTGAATCAACAACCACAAACTTATACTACAGGGAGTTAGATGAAGACCATGAAGATGCTAAGGAGATTGTTCCTACCTCTCCAACAGGACAAACGAATGTACATCTGGACTCATTTGATGTAACACCTATGCAGCATTCATTGGGGAAGCCTTTGGAACTGGTGACACCCTTTGGGCAACGAAAAGACAAGTTTGTAGTACACTCAACTTTTAACACCCTACCTACAGTTCATGAAATTAAAATGGAAAAGGGCGAAGAGGGTTCTGAAGATGATGTGATCAAAAGGGTACAACCTATTAAAAGTTGTTCCCTTGAAGTTCATTCTTCCCAGCCTGCCCCTGGATGCAGATACATGTATGACAGGATAGAAGACAAGGTATTATAGCATTTTCATAATTTTGATTGCTTTTTGTATGCTTACATCACTAACTTTAATGTTTTTGGAAGTTTAGTTTAATTATCTTGAAGATAAAATCATGAAATATTCAAAAGCCATGGTTGCATCTCAGCTTTATGAGGAACCTGTTGATCCATCGGTTGCTTCCCAAGTAATTCCTATCTCTATTCTTTTAGAATTATCCTTTTCATTTTTATCATCTTTGAAGAGCTTCAACAACATAAGTTACATCTCTTGATTCCCTATCAGAAAAGTATATTTGCTGTTGGCATGATTTGCTGTGAAGAAGAAGGGCGTTTAAAGGAAAAACCAATCATGCTTCAAAGCAGGTAATTTCTGTTGAATCTTTATGCTCTTTTCAGTCATCTTTGCCCTTACTGTTGTCCTTTGTTACTTGTTTGAACAGTGTTGAGCATTCTGGAGGACAACGTGTGCGCCTTGACTTACAGAAATTGGACCAGTTTTCCCTTTTCCCAGGCCAGGTAGATATTTAAAAAAATGGAAACTGACCAAAAAAAACCATTTAACATAAACATAATTCTACAGGTGGTAGGTATTGAAGGGCATAATCCAAGTGGGCACTATTTAATTGCAACAAAAATTGTTGATAACGTTCCACTATCAGTCCCTGATGATGAAAATATTCGTCAAAAGAAGAGACAAGCTGTGGATCAAGATAACAAGCCTGCTGATTTATCTGATATAACTTCAGATTTATCAATGGTGTGTAAGCTTGTTCTTCATTTTACTAAAGTACCCCTTTAAGTTTACTATCTGGATTCTCTCTGATTCTATCCATGTCATCTTTGAGCAGATTATTGCTTCAGGCCCTTACACCACAACTGACAACTTATTCTTTGAGCCACTGTCTGATCTTCTTGCATATGCACAAAGAAAGCAGCCTCAGTTGCTTATACTGGTGGGAATTTACAATTTTAACCCTGTAACTATTCAAAATTCAAAACCACTCTAAACTAACTAACATTGATTAACAGTTAGGGCCTTTCATTGATTCGGAGCATCCCGAGATCAAGAAAGGAGCTTTAAACAGGACTTATGATGATTTATTCCGTCTTGAAATCCTTAGGAGGGTATAATCGTCGAAACTGTTCCTTTATTTTTACCTCTAACGCTTTTATTTCCACTTTTTTCCTTGATTTTTTATATATCAATTGTTCCTCAGCTTCAAGATTATGTGGAATATATGGGCTCTGCTGCACGTGTGATTCTTGTGCCATCTATACGTGATGCACACCATGACTATGTATTTCCTCAGGTAAATTTATCATTTTATTGTGAATGAAATATTTATAAATGTTACAGTAAGTTACATGTTGGTCCCCGAGTGCTGCTATTTTTTGCAATTTTGGTCCCAAAAAATTTTCTTTTGCAGTTTTGGTTCTTGTTTGAGGTTCTCGTAACGTTTTTGGTTATTTTTCAAAGTAAAATGACTATATTGGTCCCTGAGTGTAGCTAGTTTTGCCATTGTGTTACCAAAAACATTAAGAAAACCTTAAACAATGACCAAATTTGAAAAAAACAGCTATACTCAGGGACCAAAAGTGTAACATTAGTCTAAATATTAGGATGACTTGAATATTTTAGAGTATTATGCTTAGTGTGTTTTTTTGATTGTGCAGGCTGCTTTTGATATGAATATAGCTGATCTAAATCGTCAGATCACTTGCATTACAAATCCTGGAATGATCTCAGCAAATAAGGTAAATGTTGTTATTTGGATGATATTTAAAAATATTTGAGTTGAGAACTTTTAATAATTCATTGAAAACAATATAGGTGAAAGTAGGCTGCTGTAGTGTGGATGTCTTGAAACAACTTAGTATGGATGTGGTGTCACGTGGGATCAAGAATCGCATGAATACACTAACAAGCCATCTCCTGAGTCAACGCAGGCATGTTTTCAAAATTCAAAATAATAATTTTCTTTTTTCTTAATTTAATATTTTTACGTTTGTGACGACAGCTTTTATCCTCTGTACCCACCCGCGGAAGACACTCCTGTGGACTTGTCGCTTGCTCCAGAAGCCCTTCAAATGTCTAGTGTTCCAGACATTCTCATTGTTCCTTCAGACCTCACACACTTTGTGAAGGTATGTAATCGATTATATCTTTTAAATGGTTCTGTGAAGATTTTATTGATGTATTATTATTGTTTAATTTTGAGATATTTGTAGGTTTTGAGGTTGGAGGGGACAAGTGAAGGAGGTGAAGAAGTGAAATGTATGTGTGTGAATCCGGGAAGACTGGCGAGAGGGGAAGGAGGTGGTCACTTTGTAGAACTTAACTTCCATGTTACCCCTGACTCATCTTCTGCCTCAGTTATTCGTATATAGAATCAAACATTCAGCAAAAAAAAAAAAAAACAATGGTAATAGCATTCAAGTCTCATTTTGCAAGACAAGTTGTTTAAGGTTTAACGAAATTAGTATTGAGTTGTAATTAATGTTGTATTCTGTTTGGTTTAAATCGTTGTTGCTTTCTAGTTCTTTGGTAGTATTGTATTAAATACTAATCATAGCTGGTTATAGTCTTTTTTAAAATCCAATTTAATATAATGACTGCGAAATGATTCATTGGATGGCAACATCAACTAAACTTTATCAGAGTTTCAAGCAACTTTCTACAACTGTAAATAGATTCACCAAAAGTTTGAAGTCCTTTGAAGGCTATTTCGTATTTATTTCTATAGAAGATTATACAATTTTGAGTTGATTTTCATATACAAAGACATGAACTTAAGGGTTCATGAGACTGCTATTATTTGCATAAGTTTTGAATTTTTTTATTGGTGTGATAAATATGATTAAAAGATTGTGTTACTATAATATTAATATTTTCTTTTCAGATTTTGCTAAAAATGACCAAGTGATCCACCAAAGTGTAAAAAAATGACGAAAAAAAAAAGCTTTTCAAAAAATGACCGGTGAGTCTACATAGGGTCCTTTGTGGACTTGTCTTCTATATACAGGGGATTCATGTCAACAATTGAATACTAGGGATTTTTCCATAAATTTGTTTGAGTTTGGGGTATGGAACTTCAGTCAGTGAAACCCTCTACGGGTATCACAATATAAATTTTGATAATTTTTTTTGTCTATGAAATATATTTTTTTGTTTGGAATTTATGTGACGAAATTGAGTATTATATATGTTACCATATCATTCATTCATTACGAAATTCATAAGAAGGATTTATATAGGCGTTATAGACGTTGCGAGTAAACGAGCAATAAGTTGTGCCGCAACCCCTTTTTGGATGACAAAACTAACTGTGAAAAAAAAAAGGAATTATCAAAATTTATAAAGAGAGGCCTAGAGAAGATAGTACAAGCTCAAGTAAAATTACAAAAAAAATTCTCATTAATAAATGAAGGTTTTTTTTTATCACTTGTTAAATTCTTAAGAGTTTTGTCACATATAATTTTGTGGGAGTTTTATAATTATTATTTTCCATTTGAAAAGAAAATTATTCTATTAATTTGATAATAAATGATCATAAATGCTCTAAAGAATATTTGATTTTTTTACATATGTTCCAAAAAAATTACATTATATTATATAAAACTGTTATTTTATAAAATATTTAATTTTTAAATATTTATATTAAATTTTTATTTTTAATAAACCCGTGTAATATACGGGTTTGACACCTAGTCTTTAATGTTCGACTGGTAACATGGGTATGCATAGAACTTTCACTTCTGAAAAGTTTGTTTTTTTTGGCAGTGTGTCATTTGATCGTTTTTTGATTTTTTTTTTATTGAAAGTTTTAGAGAATTTATAGGTACATTTTGTGATTTTGATCCCTTTTTAAACTTTATTTTCTTTATTTAACTTGCTAAAATAAATCTACTATAATAAATGAAGGTTTTTTTTGCCACATGTCATTTTCTCTTTCATTTGGACACTTGACATTTTCTAAAAATTTTAAATTTTTTATTTTCCACTTGTCATTTATTGTATTTTTCATTTTATTAAATTAAAATTTCACATTTAATGTGTAATGTAATATATATGTAAAGTATTTATTAGAAAGAGTTTATATATGTAATGTATTCAATACATTAAAGTTTCAATAATTTTAATAACTCAATTTATTTTTTCATTTTTCTTATAAATTCAAACTTTTCTGTTAAAATTTTATATTTTTTGGCAAAGGCGGGAGTGCAAGCGAAGAGGTGAAGTTGAAGCAAAGAGCAGGGCCAGAAGATGCCAGCATCCTCCAATTTAAACACACAGATCTTAGGAATACTCGACAAAATCAATAACCTTATTCATCTTAAGCAGCTTCAAGCTTATCTCATCACCACCGGCCATTCCCAAGACCAGTTTTTCTCTTTCAAGCTCGTTCGGTGCTGTGTACTCTCTCTATCCAACTTCGATTACGCTCGCTCAATCTTCTCTTCTCTTGTTTCACCCAATGTCTACCTCTACACCGCCATGATCACAGCTTATTCTTCTCAGCCAGATCATGATTCGTCACTCCTTTTATACCGTGATATGGTTCGAAAGAAACGACCTAAAGTCAGCCATTTTATCTACCCACACGTCCTTAAATCTTGCCCGGAAGTTTTGGGATCGAATGGAACGAAAATGGTGCATTCCCAGATTGTTAAAACGGGTTATGAAGAATACCCAGTTGTGAAAACGGCTTTACTTGACGCGTACTCGAGGTTCTCTTCCGATATAGCTGTTGCGAGGCTACTGTTCGATGAAATGTCTGAGAGAAATGTCGTGTCTTGGACTGCTATGATTTCTGGGTATACTAGAGCCGGTGAAATGCGGAGTGCAATTGAGTTGTTTGAACAAATGCCCGACAGAGATACCCCATCGTGGAATTCTATAATCGCTGGGTGTACTCACAATGGGATGTTTTCAGAAGCTATTCATCTTCTAAGAAGGATGATTATGAACGGAAAGAAACCAAATCATGTTACAGTTTTATGCTCTCTTTCAGCTTTCGGCCACATGGGCATGTTACATCTTGGAAAATCAACACATAATTACCTTCTTAGAAACGGGCTTGGTCCTAATTCTCATATTGCAAACGGATTGGTTGATATGTATGGAAAATGTGGGAGCTTGAAAGAAGCCCGAAGGGTGTTCGATGAAACGCCAAAGAGAAACCTAACTTCATGGAACTCCATGATCAACTCTTTCGCCCTCCATGGCCAAAGCGAATCAGCAATAATAATCTTTGAGGAAATGAAACAACATGGCGTGAAACCGGATGATATTACATTTGTGGGGCTATTAAATGCTTGCACCCATGGTGGATTGGTCGAAAAAGGTCGTTCTTTTTTCAAATCAATGGTAAACGATTATGGAATGGAGCCTGACATTCATCATTACGGGTGTTTCATTGATCTTCTTGGTAGAGCAGGTCAGTTTGAAGAAGCCATGGAAGTTATAAATGCAATGAAATCCCCACCTGATGAAGCTGTTTGGGGTTCTTTGCTCAATGGTTGCAAGATTCATGGCCGAATGGATTTGGCTGAAATTGCTGTGAAGAAACTGATTGAAATTGAGCCGAATAATGGTGGGTATGGGGCGATGTTGGCCAATATTTATGGTGCATTAGGGGAGTGGGATAAAGCAAGAATAGTATGGAGAACATTGAAGGAGCAAAAGGCTCATAAGATACCTGGTTGCAGTTGGATTGAAGTTGATGATCAAGTTCATCAATTTTATTCGGCTGATGATTCCCATTTCAAAATACATGACATACACTTGATCTTAGAAAGCATATTTGGGTTTTCTGATGAAAACGTCTTTCTTCATCAACATACAAGTAGACTTTGATCATACATGTTATACCATATGTAGATCTTTTTTTGCTACCTCAATTCATATTATCAAAGTCATTTATTGAGTTTGTCCCTTGTGGTTGTAGTCGACCATGACAATATTCATCATGATGTACTTTTTCTTTCCTCTTTAAAACTATCATTTTTTTAAAAATTTGTTTAACAACCAAAATTTCTCAAATAGAACTATTTGGTGAATAATTACTGATATTGAATTTTGGATTCTACTTAAAATATTCTTCATCTTTTTGGCATGCTTACCAATGTCAATAAGGTTCAATTCATTGTTATAAACTTCTCATTTAACATGATTCGCTTGTCTTAAAATCATGAACATTAATTAAAAATTTAAGGGACGGAATATATCAATCATCAAGACATAAGATTAGAATATTAAATAGCTACAAAACTATATTTGAATTAACAGAAAAGAAAATCATTTTTTTTTTAAAAATTTTTTAATATTTTTAAATCTTCAACATTAAAACTAAAAATCAAATGAAATATAACCCAATATGGCAATATGTCCGGTTCGTTGGTCCGAACGCCGTCTTGTGTTCCTTACAACTTATTTATTTATTTATTTATTTATAATTTATATTTATTTTGTTTGAGTTTGACCGTATGTTTGCAATTGCAATCAAAATGGAAGTCCCTTTCCGCCATTAACCTATAAAGAAATCAAATTCATCGTTCTTCGGTTGCTTATACCCTGACACAATCAATCATCATCATCTTCGTCGTCGTCGTCGTAGCTCCTTTCTCTTACGCTTCGCATATTCCATCTCCCTATTTCTGATTATTAGCCAGGTTTCTTATTCAGGGGGGTAAAGAGATGAGATCCATGACTGAAACGGTGCCGTCTGGATCCGCATCCGACGAGGATTCAAATGTTCATATGAACTACGCTCTTGTTTCTGCACTTGTTGCCTTTGCGGTCGCCCAAGCCATTAAGGTCCTCACCACCTGGTATGTTTTTTCTTTCATTATCATTTCTGATTTTTGGATTTGCTTGTATTCTTGTTTCAGCTAGGTTTTCAATTATGATATCTGTCTCTTTTGTTTGGTTTTCTAATCGATCAATTTACAATTTACAATTTCATATCATATCTGGAGAATACATTAAGCACTGTGTGTTGCTATGCCTCTCTGTTTCACGCGTGCGCTGGATTGAATGCTTACGATTATTTTGAATCTGAGAATCGGATCAGGACATTGTTTTTTCTGTGAATATCATTTTCTAGGGCTCATGATGTGTTTTCTGATTTAAGGATAGTTAGGTGATCAAATTAACCACCTGACAAAAGCTTATTTCACATTAATTCAGCTTCTGCGTTTGAATTTATTCAATTTTGCTTGCTAATAAACTGAAACGGTGTTAGTATTGTTACATCCCCCCTAAGAATCTTATAGCTGTTGTAGACATGCAGGTATAAAGAAAAACGATGGGATATTAAGCAGCTTGTGGGATCTGGTGGCATGCCATCATCACATTCAGCAACTGTGACTGCTCTTGCTGCTGCTGTTGGTTTTCAAGATGGTATTGGTGGTACTACATTTGCAATTGCTCTCATATTAGCTTGTGTTGTATGATCTCTCTCCCTCTCTCAACTCTCTCCTTTTTCATCATCTGCTATTGTCTGTGAATTCGTTGTGAATGAAATTAACAGTTTATGATGTTTGTAACAAACAGGTAATGTATGATGCAAGTGGTGTACGATTGCATGCTGGACGCCAAGCAGAGGTGAGAGGTCTGAATTTGTAAAAATGGCAACAACAAGTTCTTATCTTATGATCTTATCTAAATCAATTGTTCATTCTTTCCCTTATTATGTCTGAAATTATAAAATTTCAGCTTCTGAATCAAATAGTATATGAGCTTCCTGCTGAACATCCCTTAGCTGATAGCAGACCACTTCGTGAACTTCTTGGCCACACTCCTCCTCAGGTCTCTTTTCTTTTCTTGCATTTTTATTATTTCTAATATAACAAACACATTTTTTTTATAATATTTTTATGTAAAAAAAAAAAAAAAAACAATCAGGTTGCAGCTGGTGCATTGCTGGGGTTCTTTACAGCAGCAATTGTTCACTTAATCACTCAAGCTGCTACTATGGCTTGACAGTTGACACTGATATATATTAGTGTCATGGTTGTCTTGTTTGTCTATCATAACATGCATACATGCACATCCATGACATGACCATTTTTAAATACCAAAAAGACAAACGTACTTTCAGTCATTCGTCAATTCCACAAATAACACATTATCATACAGTTTGACAAATATTTGTTTCATTATTGACAAAAAAAAAAGTGTCAAAAATGATTATTATGTTTGTCGGTTAATAATACACTGTTAAATTGGCGAATTTACTAGAATACAGTATGTTGTCCTTTTGGGAATTAAACCTAATGCCTTCATTCTTTAAGTCCATTCTTTTTCATGTAGATTTAGCTCTGGTTGATCAATTTCTTGATTTGTAACTTTGTAAGTATCTTATGCAATGGAATTAGTACATTGTGTTTATGGTTTTAGTCTCTTTTTACCACTTGCAAATACATAAACTAAATTGCTCTTTCCTTTTCACCTCTTGATATGTATATAGAAATTTGCTACAATTAACCGGACATGCTCTAACACAACATATGTCGTTACACCCAAATAGCATTGTACTTGAAATAAAAAAACAAAAATTGTTTTTTAATTATCTAGCAACAAAAAGTCTAAAATTTATCAAAACATTTAAATCAAATGTTTGAATTTAAAAATAACATAAGGAAACATCAATTAATATCAGAGGCATGCTTATTACTTATAAATTAGATAGAGTCATGTGTCTCATGAAGCTTTGAGGACTACCAATAGTTGTTGGATGATTGATGGTCTGCCTAGCAGGCTTACGGTAGTTTCCAAATGGGTAATCTATTGATTTGTCAAGAATATGTTAGAAATTCGGGGTAATAAAATGCTTGAAAATTCTGAGAAATGTGTATATACTTTCAGATTAAAGCATTTGGGTGATACTCTCAATCTTCAATCGGATAAGACAGAATATGAGAGCAAGAACAGAGAATATGATTGTTATGATTTTCGAAGGTACCATAAAACATGAAGACCAAAATTGGTTAAGTATCTTTTCCATCAGAAAACTATCACAAGATACAAGATTGTTTTATGTCTGAAAAACTATCACTAAAACAGTTTGATGTCTAAAAACTGTCACTAATTCGGGTTCTTTCTATAAGGGTCAAAACAAAATAAAAAATCGGGTTTATTTTAAAAAATTCAGATTTCTGATATATTTTTAATATAACAATATAACCCAAATAAAGTTAGGGGCTCTGCCCCTTGGACCTCGCTCCCAGGGGTGTTGCCCCTAGACCCCCGTTCGTTCAAGGGCTTCTCCCCTAAATGACATTGTATTTTAAAATTTGATCAAATTTAAACAAGTGTGTACTCCACACATTCCTTATTTGTTCAATATTTATCAATATCATTAATTCCATTACATTTAAATAATATTGATGATAACAAATCACTAACAAACTTCCCCCATTTAAGTGTAATATTGATTAACTTAAAAACAAAATATAACAACAAATTGATGTATAAATGAAATGTGATGACGATTGACTTTCACATTAGTATATTATACAATCCAAATATTCGAATATCAGGGTGGTACTAAGGATTGAATCCTTTCTATTCATAGTGAATACGTGAAGACAATACACACAAAAGTTTATATTCTAATAAGTTCTAACTTAACACTATATTTTACTAGCTTATGTCCTATCCTTTAATAACTATATCAAAGTCAAATTCTAACTTCTTGAAACTTCTAGTCCCTCCATCCCAAATCGTTTCAAATTAAATCCCTAATTTACTCTATAGCCCCCTTATTCCAAAAATCATTTCAATTCAAGTCCAAATGTTACAATTTAACCCTCAATATATAGAAAATATAACTTTTAACTACCCAAGGTGTAAACCTCGATAATTTAATATGACTTTAGGGCTAAAACAATATATATATATATATATATATATATATATATATATATATATATATATATATATATATATAATACATCTCGGGGTTTTAGGGTGTATTATTTATTTATTTATCTATTATTATTAATATTATTATTATTATTATTATTACTACTACTACTACTACCACTACTACTATTATTATTATTATTATTATTATTATTATTATTATTATAAACAGGATGTTACAATTCTCCCACACTTAAATTATTTTTGGTCCTCGAAATAAGCTCTCGCTTCTACTTTATGATGCACTCCCCCATTAACAACCAAGACGCGGAATTAATCAGTCCCCGAGCTTCTCGGTCAACCGTCAGTACGCTAATCCGACACCAAAACGGCATCACCGAAATGAAATGTAATTGATCACATACTAAACTGAACCACACTCTTATTCAGCTCCAATAGCCCAACTAAGGTATCCACTATCAACACTCGAACTCACCCCTGATTAGACGATATTAGATAAGTAAACCCTCAACCCAAGCTCCCAAAACCCTAAGGTCTAAGCACAAGTATGGCCTACAGGTGCTATTATAACTAAGATTATTACGAATCGAAGGGAAAATCCAACAACTGGTGATGATCTTGCCGCGATACCCAAAGTTTAGCAGTTGCGCAGAAGTCTGGAACTTAAAGAAATCAAACTGAGAACCGAACCTTGGCAGAGTTTTCCTGCTGCGAGGTTCTGCTCTCCCCCACTTGAAATATGTTAGAAAGCGAGAACTTCATAGTCCTTCGATATGCAAACTAACTTGGACTCTACCACTCGATTCAAACCACTGGTATTTCGTTACATGGTAGGATCAAAATCCACACAACATTCATACATTCCAATACACATATAATGGAGGACAAAGATAGTTAATCCATACATAACAAGAGATCAATTTAAACAAATCTAAATAATATAATTCCATGTAAATGATCATCCAAGA